CTCTGTCTATTGGACTCCATATCAGATGATCCCGCGCTTTATTTTGATCCGAAAACCACATGCATACTTCGTCGAAATATCATTACGACAGAAAGACCAATTTTGAGTCCGCTATCGTGCAGCGACAATGTGGATTTAGCCGATATTGGGAGAACCTCATTCTAACGGAACCAACTACATTGTAGATTACATTTTGTAGTTTCTCGACAGCTGATTACGCTTTTTTTTTTGTAAATCAAAAAATATTTTTAATTATTTACTAAGTAAATTGTGCCGTGTTTTCTTTCAGAAAAGACAATTCTGTGCATTTGTTTGTTTGCTAGCTAAATCAGAAACGGTATTCGCGTTAGGCCTCCTTGGAATGTTCCATAAATTTGAAATCGGAATTGTCTCTAAACCAGGGCACTTGTGTATGCGATTGCGCAAACGCTATTAAAGTCCGAAATATTGCTCATTACAAATAATAGTGTTGTCTTCTATGATCGCGTTTTCAAACAGATCCACTAACATTCATATAGATGTGCGAATATTCGGACCGTGATTGTTTCGCATTTATGCCGGGGGAGCCTGTAGGTGGGAGAATTCTTCGTTTCTTATTGATCCGGAATGGGGMCTTGCTATCTATAGTACAATCCACTGATTATTGAACTCTATATTCATTTTTTGGTAGCTAAATTTCTAGTTTTCAATATACAAAAGACAGAGCTTTAATGCTTTGTCATATAATGATAACGTAATGATAGATGCGGTCTGCAAATTAAAGCTCAGTATTTGTTCAAAGTAGTATCTAACTTATCGTCTATTTTTTAATCTTGCGAAAATAGTAATTTTTTAAAATAAAATTTGATAGTACCCACAGAATCTTTYAAGAAGTTTCTAAGATTTGTAGTAAAAGTACTTACGTGCATATCGCCTAGCTAGTAGTGTTCTTTCGTGGACGCTGAATGAAAATTAATTGACATCAAACCATATCAAATGCTTTTAAAAGGGCGGAAGTTTCGTTCGTATTCATAGCAAAAGCCAGCGCCTCGTCAGCTTGATAAAAACGACTTCAACTAAAGACAATGATTGAAGCTGCTTTGACTTCACGGTTAGAAYTGTTTTAATTAAACTTGTTCAGTCATTAAAGCCATTGTTTATAATAGCGGGGAAGCGTTAACAAGGTCCTTTTTGTCATTTCATTTTTATTGTCAAAATTACAATTACTGTCATTTTAGATGATATTTCAAACTGAAACCTTGAGTTTGACAGTAAATATTTTTGAATAAATAAACCTAAATAAGTGTCAAAGAATTTGATAGATTTGCAATCCTAAAATCCGTAATCGAAAATTGTTTACCCACAATGCACCCCAGGTAGTGATATATGTTAGACGGCTGAATTTTTGCCAGTGGCTTTATTATGTAAAATAAAAAGATGTCTTGATATTATTACATGATAAAAACATTTTAATGGAATAAAGCTTTTTTTAAATTTGTTTCTAAGTAAAAAGTAATGTCTTTTTTACTGAAAATCATGACAACAATGACACAAACCCGTGTTCTGGTGGTAGTCAAATTTCTTGAGCAGGTTCAAGCACCATCATCAGACTAAAGTTACATAACGCTTGACGGGGGTCTAAGACCTAGGTAATTTCATTTGTAAATTTGTTTCACCAGGAAAATAAAAGCATCATTTTTAGTAACTTCGGTSAAAGTACATTGGTTAGGGGCTGAGTACGTGACGGTATGTTATGCTATCAGTAMGTGATTTTCTTTGAAATTAAGTTATTTCTCTCAAAGTGATAATTAATAGAATGGAGTTAGGGGYCCATATCACACGCGTATTATAAACAAAGAACATCTGCTCTCCAAGATCATACCCAGGCTTCTTTACATCACCCAGCGACGAGATAAAAGGGGTCTGGGATTGAGGCTAATGTGACGTAACGAAGTCATACTGCTAGAACTGAAGAGTCTCTCTCTCGCTTTCTCACCGTCGGCTTCGGCAACTGTTCGGGACTGAAATTTTGTGTTCACTCCAGAAGAAAACAGCGCGAGAGACTTGGAGCAAGCCTATCTATCACAATTTGGTTCACGGGTTGAWGAACCTGTGGGATACCATAGCTCATTCTGACTATATCCGTGAATTAGTTTACTGTCAAAACTGTGAAAATTAGAACAAAATTCTGGCTTTCTTTGAAAGTAAWGTGCACATTCATTAAATAACGTTTTTTGTACTAATTTGCACAATTTTTTTAAGCGGTATACAAATCACAAGAGGAATTGCTTGGTTCGTGTTTTCCCGACATTCCCCAAGTGATTTATTTATCGATATCACTCGAAAAAATCGCGCGCTTTAAAGGTTGTAAATTTGATGTAAATATGATGTAAGTGTCCAAAATTCTTTAAATTTGATGTAAATGAGTTCCACTMATTTTACAGAATTTTGGACACTTACATCATATTTACATCAAGCGCGCGATTTTTTCGAGTGTATACAACTGCAGTCAACCTTATGTTGTTTTTACRGAAAGAGGTCTTCCCACGAGGCCGTGTGTGTGACCGGTCAGAAATAAATCACGCCGCTTTGACCAATCATAGCRCGTTAACCAGTACATCTATATTCTAAATTTGGGTCATAAATTTTATTAAATGTCTCTAATTGATAGTTCATTAATGATTTTCTATGATGATAATTTACAAATAAGGCAAAACATAAGTCTTTCCTTTACCATATTTCTCATATTATTCCGACTGAGTTGTACATGTAACTTAAATATGATATGTATCATACATTGTTCTTCTATTTCCAGCTCTTTAGTTTGATATAATAGAAGCTCTAAGCTTCTTTTTATGKGAACAGCTGCTTATGATATATTCAAAGGGCTTCCTTTCAAATTATTTTGCTTTCTTGATCTAAAAAATAATGAGTTGAAACCATTATTTAATGTACACAGACGATGCCTAATTAAGGCTTGCATTTATCAAAAGGAAAACATTTTGAATATGCCATTCTTTGAAAGGAAATATTCCCAAGTGAAGTCTAGCTTCACTAATCGCTAAAGATGAAGGATTACAGAAAGCTTTTGGAGTATCTAAAATTCAGCAACAGTGAATATTGTTTGAGTTTAAGAGGGGTTTTCATGGCCACATTGTTGTTTTGTGAAGCTAAAATACATCTTGAAAGGAAAAGTGTCGCGAGTTCAATGGCTGGACTGAACAGGTGTTTGAGTTGAGGTGTCTTTTGTCTCGCAATCATGCCATGATTGGCTAAACCAAGTTGTATCATATCTATGATAACCGACTAGGGAGATATCATATCAAACAGCACAGCTTGTTTTTCTGAACCTTTTGCCACTGCAAACATCTTAGGATTAGAGCTCAAAGCTTTTCGTTGCTAAAATCATATTCAATCATAGTCAAAAATCAACAAATATCATCTTAACTCATGCGTCTTTAATGRTTCTCATAATATTTAACTTAAATGACAATTTTCAAAAACGATTTTTGCTCGRASGATCAATACAGGCGCGYACTTAATTTGATATATGTCAACTACTTTTATCAAATTATTAGTTCACTCAGTTTAACCGACTAATGTTATATTTTAAACTAAAGATTGCGGGKTTTTTTTCTCAGTTCTTGAGGAATCGTGTAGATCAATAAAAGGAAATGTCCTCGTCAGCACCAGACGATTTGTTTACAAAGTGAAACACCTTTTCTGTCATCAATAACAAACTTTAAAATTACAACTTTTAAAATCTCTGATTTAACTCTAATTTCTTGTACCTTATCATTTCGGTTGCAGAACAATAATATCAACACGGAGTGCGCGGGAAATTTTGAATAATAATCTGTACTTGTTTCATTGGAGAAGTCCAATTGAAAATGTGATCTTAAAATTCGATTTTCTCACTCCTTTCTTTTAGTTCTTCCCTCTGTCTGTAAAGCTCTAGTACATTCATCAACGCAGTCCGCGAAAAGTTTAAGTGAACTGTCCGATTCACTTTCGTACAAGTGATTTAGGTGCGCTAACGCTGAGATATAACTTGTCGCCAGTCTCAAGATCGCTAGCTTTGAAAGTTTCTGATCATGGGAATAACATGGTACAGCTCTTCTTAAACAGTCAAACGCCTCACTCATAATATGTATTCTTGATCGTTCTCTAGCGTTGGCTATTAGTCTTCTAGAACGGCTAGAATGACGCCAAGACACCGCTCTTTTCGATTTGTCTCTTTTCTTTTTCCCTGACTGACTTCCGGTGTTTTTCGATCGTTTTGTGGCGACTCCTTCTGTGTTTGATTCTTCTGAGGTATTAGAGTCCTCTAAAGGAATATCCATAGAAGCAGAAGGCTCTCTCCTACACGTCTGAAAAATTACTCTTGTCCTGTGGGAGCTCTTGGAATAGAAGGCCTTTTTGTGAGAGTATGTGGAAGAGCTACTTAAAGGTGAGTCGCACATTTCCTGGGTCGCGAAATTCTTGTTCAATCCCAAGGGACAGACTTCTGTTTGATGAATAGTAGCGAGAGGTCCACAGCACTATGGTACTCCAGTATCAATCAAGCTCTTTTGAAGCTGAGCAGCTAAGATCAGGTTGGACACCTGGTACGGTTGCACCGTCAAACTAACTTATTCGGTCCCTTATCTAATGATAGCAAGTCTATGCGAGCGTGAATTAGCATTTGAACCAACCACCTGTCTAAAATATAACAATGAAACTATAGATTTGTTTATCATCCACTGTCAACATCAAATCTCTTACTGATTGTGTTACTTGTCACAGGTGTAACAACATGCTCTGCTCGTAGGTAACCATTGCTTTTCCCCCGTCTAAATCATCCAGTTAAATTACTTCTCTGATAATTCAGAAACTCAATAACATCTTTATTAACAAATTACACATCTTCGTTGAGGTTTTAGGAWTTTTTTTGGCAATGCAGCTGTCCATTATATGAAAAACATCATGCGAGAAACCGAGAAACCTTTCTTTGACAAAGACGTCGCTGAATTGTCTTTGAATCGCAGGTGTTGGTTCATTGTAAAGAAGCAGTCGTTGTGAGTGACAAATTGACAAYAAAACAATTGTTTTGCAGCGCTGACATCACAAGGACTAAATGACACAACCCTACTCTAATTGGCTCAGGTTTTGATAGGTTTAGTGATATTTTTTGAAAAACTGCACGTGCTTGTTGAATAAACGAAGACCTCTGTCACAAGTTCAACTACACTCTATTTGTTGATATTAAGGTTGGAAATTTTCGTTGAAGTCATTTTTGTGCAAAAGAGATTATCCGAAGTTTCTGATTGTTCAATTWTTTTCAAAGTTTGTTTATAAGTAATCGTCTGGTCTTCGGCTTATTAYTGCCTTTAGTTTGAATAAGTATTATCTTTACTAACCGTTGCTTCGAACAGTAAAAGTAATTCACTTGAACTYGCCTCGGTTCAAATGCAATTCCTAGTGCAATTATATCTACAATTCTTGTAATTTTATTTAAAATTACTCATAAATCCTTCTTTAATTGATTAATACTAAATGTAATTGGATGCATTACTTTAATTCTAWACCGTTTCGTTTTTCAGGTTAACTGAAGTCTTATTCCGTTGTCAAGTTCTCAGTCTTTTCTGAGATACTCGTCTCGCTCATCACAAGTCGGTGTCTAGTGCTACGATCTTGTTCGGCGTATTTTCCGTAGGCGATTTTAGTCCTTTTGGCATCGATGACAAGGGTCATTCCTTTTTGTGTAATTTATTTGGCTCTATAATGTAATCATTTTTTGTGTAATCATATACAATTTTGCCATCTCTCGCCTGGAAAAGCAAAAGACGCCCAGTGTTACTACTGTATCACTCTATGACTAGAATACAACCGGCTGCGATACTAAATTCTCACCAACCGCTATTAAAGACCATTAAACGTACCTCTCTTAAGCGGCCACCTGGCTGATTCCGCSGAAGCAACCGCTTAATAAAGAGTTTATATRCATAACAATGGACACTCTGTCACGGGTGACACGCGCTAATAAATCGCTCGCGAGTCATAAAAGTTAAAACCGCGGTTAGATCACCAAGTCTTTTTCTACTTTTCATTTCTCTGTCACGTGGTATTCTAAACGTCATCGCTTATGACGTCAGTGGWTATCATTATTGGATGACTTAGTAAGGTCGACACTCCCATTATTGCCTGTGTTAAACTGTTCAGCGTGCTTGACATKGTGTAGTGACTGAACTTGTGAACAAGCTGTGAATCTCGTCCAATTACGTGTTGGATGTTCTCCCAAGGAGAGCTGAACAATACATTGACTGGTTTATTTTATCAATAAAACCACAGTTTACCTCCTACAAAGACACGAGTTCAGTCAGATCCGGGAATCTGTACATAATCACAAAGATCTTTTGTAATAAAAATTGAATCAATGCAATACTTGTGAATACTGCGAAACAGGACAATTTCTGTTTCACAGTGAAAGTAATTGCCAAATTGATACTTGTCCATTGCTTTCTCTTAAAGTGTATTAAGGTACATGATGTTTTGATCAAGCACGAGAATTAAACCATACGTGATAATGAAGCATTTTGACATTATAGTTCTCGTGCTATATAAGTGAAGCTTGCAAGTTCCTGACTGATCAATCCTGACCATTTTACCGAATCCTAGCGTGGTCGAAAATTAATCATTCCGGATTTATTTCCAAGGGTCTTTCTCCCGGAATAACCTCCTTCCTAGTACTATAACTTTCCTTTATTTCTATATCGTTTTACGTCTTAGTTTACGGAATAACAACGGCCAATTGTTATATATTATAAGTACTGAAAAATTGTTTCGAGTTAGCAAATTTAATAGTTCATGCCTAATTTCATCAGAAGACTGTGTATTAATTAAGTACCTGAAATATCAAATGATAATTAGTAAGTCAGATTTGTATAGTCGTGATAGTTTTTTTTACCTTTTATAAAACAAATAGAAAATAAATTCGGTAGTAAACGTAGCCACAGTAATTTATAGTTTGTAATCACTTTGTTTTAAGCGACAACATTGTACATTTAATAAGATTTATAAAGTCAAGTTTTCCAAAGAAAATAGTTATAAAAAACAAAATCATTTGAAAATTGAGTTAATCTGAAAGGCRTAATACTGAGTTTCAAACACTTTTATAGAAAACAGAATCAAAGTTTACTAAATCGAGATATTAATTATGTATATGATAAGAAACTTTAWACCTGATAGCCAAGTCTGAACGTCCATCGATGTTAGTATAGTTTGGAACATTTCCATATTMGTTCGGCAAATACCTATTCCCAAGTAAACACAGTTTGTTTACAATCCATTGAGTTAACGTCAATAGGGTGTACTTTGTACTAGCAGTGTATTGGATAGTATTATGAATGTTATCGCAGACACTCGAGTCCTATACTAAATGACTCCATTGTACACCTTATTGGCTGAGAGTGACCTTTGCCTGTGACCTTCAGSAAACATTTTAATGAACACTGATTGGCTGGGCGGAGCTTCGTTGTGCTGAAGAATGCATAGTATGACACTAAACCACTATAATAGCAGCACCACTTAACGAGGTTAAATATGGCTTCTAGTCGAGGACGAACCGGTAAAAAAATAGGCAAGAAGCTACTTACACCGAGCAATAAGAACAATGGAGAAAAACGCTATCATCTACGCCCTGTTTCTCTTGAATCTCGGTCTAAATTAGCTGTTCTAGCAGCTCAAGAAGAAGACGACGAATACTGCGATTACTGCTTTAAAAGCTCGGCTCGTCATCGGAAGTATATTCATTTAAGATCGAACAGAGAGTGTGCAACTGCGCGGGAAAGAAGTAGAATGCATAACCTTAATGATGGCTTTGAAGAACTCAGAAAAGTCATTCCTAAAACAAACTGCTCAGGCGAGCAGAAATTATCCAAAATTGCRACTCTACGACTAGCGATTCACTACATATCGGCGTTGTCTAAAGTGCTAGGTTTGCCGATAGATTGTGAAGGCGATGAACAACRTGAAACAAGTAAAGACATTGATGAGCAATGCGGTCAAGAAGGAAAGAGTTTACCTGATCTCGCCCGGAGCGATTTGGACTSGGAAAGCAGTTCTCCTGAGWGTTTCATCTTCGATCAAGGTGAGGCGAGCAGTGTATACTAAGACATTTAACAAAATGTTTCTAAGATATTAAATAATTTAATGCGTATATTACCACTATTTAGTATGTATATTCTTCAGTGTGAAGTAGAATCATGTGCGGCAGTTTACAGGACTTGTAAAAATCCACTTAGAACATGCTAATGYGTCTTAATCCCGACGYCTTGTAAGCCGAGGTTYGATTGCTGTCCAGCGTGTACAATGTACATTARATGTACCGATTTCTTTTGTGTTTGTCGCAAACTGCTCGAGAATTTACAGACTAGAGATGTCTTTAATTTCGTTCCCGAGGGAGGAGAGCGAGAAGACGCCCATTGTCTTTGACTGTAATTGAATTATCGCTACAGCTTTATTTTTCTCGGTTACGTCGGTAACTAGTCCAGAATCACTTATCTAACATTTTTAAATGTCAAGCATCTTCGATGCCAGCCAGGTCAACGTTTTACCGCCTTATCTTAAAGGAAAGTTTATTTTTAGAAGTAAGATATATTTTCCCAAACTTAGGGACTTTGGTTGCTTTGTACATGAAATATAGATTGATGATGCATTATGTAATCTGCAACGTACATAGTCAAACAGTCAAACATACTCAAATCAATATAGAAAGTAGTACCACAATAAAGATTTTCAAAGCTTGTATTTCATAACAAGTGCTCTTGACTTTGTACTCATTGCACTTGAAGAAGGAGAAAATTGAAAGGTTATCAGAGACCAGTACCATCGAAACTGGGTGGTCATTGCCCAAGGCTGTACACCAATAACACACGCTTTTATTGAATTTCAACGTATAAAAAAATGTCGCGTCCTCAGATGTGCTGTCAATCATTATTTTGAGCTGGAGAAAAACACGATGCAGATAAATCTGTTCGTTTCACTTTTTCATGGGCTGTATTTTCGAGTGTTTTTAATAGCAAAGCTAATTTGAAGAGCGAGAACTTACCACAAAGCCAAAAAGTTGAATAAACAAAAATGCTGCACGTCATGTTGAAGTTTCTCGTATCATACAAAATTCAATGCATAACAACGTTTCATTGCCCTATAAAAGCCACAGAGAGTATTCGGCTTTTCCTGAAGCGAACCGAGTGGCGTATAAGTCAGGAATTTCACAATATCAATTCAGTCTAGCTCCCGCGCGTAGTGGATGTGCAGTCTTCGAGCGGAATTCTTTTCCATGTGAATTCGCGCACGATCTCCCTTCATTTATGAGCATTTTTAAAAACCAAGTATGTTGTTCTTGGAAAATATGACTTATTTTTCCATGTATACTGACTTGCTTTAGTTTCAGATCACTGAAAACGAATAAATAATTATTTCACGATTTAGAGGGATACATTAGAAACCGTGAAATAATATAGTAGACAAGCAATGAGAAATCACTGGAAAAAATCGCGCGCTTTAAAGGTTGTAAATTTGATGTAAATATGATGTAAGCGTCCAAAATTCTGTAAATTTAATGGAAATCATTTACATCAAATTTACAGAATTTTGGACACTTACATCATATTTACATCAAATTTACAACCTTTAAAGCGCGCGATTTTTTTCCGGTGAATGGAAGAAAAACACATAAAAGAAGCCTGGACTGAGACAACTTAAAGGTGTATTTACCAGATTTTAGTGTACTTCGTCACAGGATATATGAGTTCATGAATTTGGTTTTGAGTTTTTATCAGGAAATGTCAATATTTTTACTCACAATTCATTCCTTTKGGATAAGGGTTTAGAGTCTTCTAAACTATTTCCGCGGTTTCGTGACAATTAACTGTACAATTTAGTTTACCATTTCTAAAGTTGTGGTTGAAATTGGATCGGAAAATATCTTATTCTAGACTAGTAACTGTTTCCTGTACTGACTTGAATTTGTTTTCAATTGCTTTACATTCAATTTCTTTCCCTTCTATATTTATGAAAAAATAACAATTATGCAAATACTAAACTATATTTGGAAAAGGTATATCTTTATCAAAAATTTTCGCTTTTAACATGTTTGAAATAACAAAGGGATGATGATAAAACCATGGCCGTCTGATTGACYATACAATTCGAGTTTTTACTTATCTGTTATTTTCTAAGATTTTAAAGAAATTTGCTAATTGTCTATATTTTTCACTCATTTAACTTGAATTCTTTAAAATAATTTATTCATCGTCAGAATTGTTTTACAGGTTTGTGGTACTTGGCGGAGAAAGAAGAAGAGAGTCCTTGCAGTCTCCCATTGAACATCGATGAAGCTTACGGAYTTTCAACACAAAAGAACAATTTTCCCTTRACTTAGGGCTGTGTCCAACGTAACAATCTCATTTTGTCAAGTGCCGSATTTCCAAATCTAGTTACAGTACTATAAAAAAAACTACTAGACAAAAGCATTGAATTATAAATAGATTATATTTAAATAGTTTAATTACAAGACGATTTGAATTYATGAGTTTGAAAAATTGAGAGATTGAGATACAATATAGAATGGTTTGCACATTATATTGATTTCATAAAAGGTAAATAAAGACATTTTTCAAACAAATAAAACTATACCGAGGCCTATTAACAATCCGAYAAGTCTACAAAAGGTTACACAATTCRRWMAKRAAKRAMRWACMWASC